TTCTGCCGAAAATTTCTCCTACATCCTACACACTAGATCTTTGAGACCTTGTTCTGCGTGAAGTCGTGTTTGGTACTTGTTCTGGCAAGTAATGGGTGTCCAGTTATACTCCATAAGCCCCATGAAGTGGATTTGTGCATTTTGTGGTTTAAGTCCAAAACAAAAATTATGCAGCAGAAGTAAACACAGTCTGTTCTCGTCTGCTTTTCCAGTTTTTGCTAATGTGGAATAATGAGCACTGAAAATCTGCTCAGAAGCCAACAATTAAAAACATGCATAGCGAAATGCAAAATGAGCAAACTGAACTTCACTGTGAAAATGCACGGACCTGTTTAGTGCACTTTTTACTCCAAGTAAAATGATGTTTGCTATAGAGAGGTTCAGCATTTACAAAACAATGAAAAAAAGAAGCCTCCCACTGTTATATAACATCATTTGAGAGGGCGAGAGAGACGCAGACAGCTTTATCCACTCTCCTGCTCTCACTGTCCTTCATTTTTCATTCTGCGTCTTCCCTTTCTGCTTCTTTTCCTTCTACGTCTGCCTCTAACATACTCCACTTCTCTCAGTCCACCTATCTAATCTAAGCTTATACCCCCTCTCAGTCGCAGCACCTTGTAAAAGACTGATGAGGTATCTTAGCAACGAGTCTTTTTTTGTCCAGTGTCCTAACTGGACAGCAAAGTGACTCTGTTCCTCCCGACCCCGACAACCAATGGAACAACAAGATTGTGGTCCCTTTGGAGCGAGGCGGCCAATTGCTCTGAAGCATCTTGCTTGTTCAGGAGTCAGTAGGCCAGGGGGATAATGGTTGAAGAGAATGACCTGTAGCCGTCTTGACAACAGAGCATCCGGTGATGGAGTGAAAGGTTTTCTTTTTCTAACACATGTCTTCTGGAGGCAGTCTCCCTCATATTGTAGTCCACAGCTCACTCTGGGCCTTCCCTAAGTGTGAGAATGTGGTCTGTCACTGCAGTTGATGAGGTCAGAAGTTATTTTGTGTACTTATATCACCACACTCATCACACTGCAGCTACACTGAGCACTTTCAAGGAATAAATCTGACACTTGTTATCAAGAGAGCAAAGGAGCATGAAAACAGGAACATGAGCCTCTGCAGCAGCCTCATACCTGCAAGAAATGATCAGTTTTACCCTCATGGAGCATTCCTCCTCTGATAATGTTGTACAGGGCAACATAAATAAAGGACTTGACTCTGCCTGAAAAGCACAGTGAGTGTTTGCCAGCCACTTTGGGTGGCCATACTTTTTATGCAGGGCACTTCCTTTAAGCTTCTAATGACGAGTGACCCTTGCGTGAAGGGATTCTTAGAGACTAGGTCAGGCTTTTAGAGTCAGGGGAGTTCCTAGTGCACCGAGTCTATCACGCCTGGAAACCAGGCAATCAACTTGTGTATGAACAAACCCTATAAACTTCTTTTTTTAAAGAAAGCCAATAAGGAATAATTGTTCTTCAAGCAGCATGGGTTATTAAGTTATGATAGGCTGATCATTCATCATTAGCTGGTGACGACAGCAATCTAATGTCTTTAAATGAGGAAACCAGATCATATTGTATGCTCGGGTGCAGAGTGACTTCTAGAGGGGACAAAGAGGTGTGAGTTGGTATGCTGAGTGCAAAGCCCCAGGAGCAACTGCTTTGACAAAGGGAACCAGACTGTTGACATCAATTCATAAATCAAACGGGGTCACTGCCTCTCTGAACGCAGAGGCTTGACTTCCCACAAGCCTTCAACCAACAAACTCTTCAGGTGAACAAAATATTTAACCTTTCATTATGTGTAGAGGATTTTTTAAATGTAATTTATGTGTTGTCATGACTCATGAACATGTTTATGCAAACAGCCAGACTGATATTATACCGATATATGAGAGTTTATAAATAGTTAACAAAAACAGGTAGTTAAACAAATGCTTTTGACAAGGATCCCTTAACTGTAGCTATGAAAAAATGTTGACCAAAATATTTTCTTAGCAGGACATTTTACGCAGAAAAATAAACTTGCCAACTGTGCTTACTGGTGGGCAAACAAACTTCTAAACTTCAAAATTTATATCATTAATTGATTTCTCATTATAACTAGATACTGGACGCCAAGGTGGCACCTATTCGTTCCAATGGAGTTGCTCGCCTGGTACATGCCAAAAAAGTTCCAAGCATTCAGGTTTTCTTCCGCGGTATGTGGCCCTTCAAGTGTTTCTCCTGCTGGACCTGCCTGCGAGTTCTCTTTCGGCTCATTGACTTTACATTGTGATGATGTCATGGATTTTTAAAAAGCTTTTCTAGGCTTGAGGAAAGTTTTACAAATATAAAACCTCCATGGCTAAAAAAATAAATAGTATAAAGATTTGTAATTGACCTTGTTTGCATGTGGAGGTGTCCTGATTGCAGTTTTACAGACGTCTCTTTAATAACGATGGCCTACGGGGAAAATACTTCTTGGGCCACGGGGGATTTTTTCGCTGCGATATTGCATGTGGCCACTGGGAAAAATTGGCTGCAAGGGTGAGCAGCAGACCTGATGAATATATTCAGCCATTTCCTTACTGCAGTATCTTGATTTGTATCTGATGACATATGTGCTGATACTGATAGAATACTAATATTTGCATAATGCTGATATATCGGCGGGCTCTAAAGCAGAAATGATTTTTTGATCACATAATTAATTTGTCATATTGTTATTGAGTATAGTCTACATTGGAAACTCAAAATTAATTTTCTAAAATCAAGATTTAAATGTAAACCCACTGGTGACACATTAATGCTATCTTAGAATTAGTTAAAAGCTGACTTCAAGTGCAGGCAAACTATGTGTGTACAATTTTTCAACATAGGTCTTATTCCAGGCTGTTCTTGCGCACCGTTTTATGTATAGGCTACCTTCGAAAAAGAATGCATTAAAATTCGTATATATCACACATTATCATGAGCCAGTAACTGAAGGCTGCGATCGTGTGATCAATTCACTGACGGTAGTAAAGAAGGACTTTTCCCAGGACTTTGCCCCTAGGACACCAGTGTTTGTGTCCCATGTGAAACCAAATGAACTTTTTAGAGTAAATCGTGCAATATTTTTTCCTATACCAAACCAAAGTAATGTAACTTGCCTTAATTGTAACCTATGTAACTACGAGTGCACCAATTGTGAAATTCTAGGCTGATGCCCATGTTGAAAATAACAATTTGGCCGATAGCTGATACCAGTGTTTTTGTTTTTTTGTTATTTATTCCCCCATTTGTGTCAGGGAAACAAAGAAATCTTTATTAGAAAAATTATGTGAACATTCAACATTCAAAATAACCTTCTTTGACATGAAAAACATAATAAAACGACTTCAGAAGGCTAATTACTATAAATATTATAATACCTTTTCCAATATCTATTTTCGATGACAAGGAAAACAACAAATTTCTCCATCAAACAAATGAATTTATTCAAGTTCCTCAGCAAAAGCTGCATTTTACACGATTAAATTTGAACGCATCAAGAGAACGTTATAATTTACCATAGGCTTGAACACATCATAATGTAACTCAATGCAATGTCTGTTGGCAGTTAGTTCCGACCAACGGCTGCTAACAGCTAATATTAATTAGCTCTCCTCCGGCTGATTTAAACGCGGATTTCTTGCTCACAGTGTAGCATTATCAAAGAAACAATATAGTACATCCCCTGATGCATCGATAGTGAGTTTACTGCGTCCTTTCGCTCTCACAACGTCAGGAAAGATAACTGTTCCTCCCTAACACTTTTTTATTGATTGCAACCGGGAGGACTGGACGCCATTTTGTTCTGGGACTGGGACATACTTTTTATTGCCTGCGCAGATTTGATATGACACAACAGAAAAACATCACTGCCTTCGATAAAGGTGATTTTATTTGCTGATAGGCCTGTGTATGATAATCTTATCATAATAATATAAAGTGATAAATCATATAAATCATAAAATCTGAACTTTGATTGACTCATGGCAGTCAAGGAGGCGAATATTGGCCGATACCGATGTGTAACAGGTGCATCCCTGTGACTTTATAATACAATGTAACATCAATAGTGTGGCGTTAATAAGCTAGATATGATGCTAACCTTTGTGTGTGTATATTCGTAAGAAAGTTGTATGAGAACAGTATAATTAAAATTCTGACAATGGGTCATGCTCACTTTGCTAACTTCCCATTGCTGTCATAGTAATACAGAATTAGCTAGTTTAGCTAAGTGCATAAAGTTACCGTTATTATATCGAATAACGTTAGTGTCCACCATCAAACAGTGTCCCCCCCCCCTCCTGTTAATATGAGCACCTCTTTGTTGTTTGGGTCTAGGGCTAACGGTTTTGGTTGGGTTATGGTGAAGGGGACACATATTGACGGGACAAAACACCAACTCTAGGCTAATTGCCAACTTGCTATGCTAACAAAGCTAGCTTTTCATTCATCTGCGCACACCGGTTTGTTTAGCCTACTGTTAACGTTACATATGAGGCTGCAGGTCTTTGTTGATTCAATGTGTGTTATTATTGTCAGTATGGACATAAATATGTAAATAAGATCCAGATTGGAAAAAGTAATGCTTGCAAAATATTGTTAGTGTTAAAACTGACTGGTTGCATGCTGAATTTACAACTTATAATACTATAGGCACGACCTTATGGTAAATAATGGTGCATCATTTTGTTGCAGCGTTTTTGAAATCAGTGCCTTTATTTTTCTCACCTACCGAGGTCCGATTGGGTTGTGTTCGCCACATCCCACCCATGAATCTGAAGACATGCAAATGTGATGGCTGTAATAATCATACAGTAACTTACGCTACTTAATGTTAAATTAGAAAAACTCCAGAGCTCATGCTTAAACTTAGACCAACCCAACTTTTTCCTCGTGTTTAGCCCGTCTCTCCTCATGTCACCCTGCTCTCTGTGCGCCGTGGTAACGCTGATGTGAGAGCTAGACTGGTTACCACATGGCTGTTATCCAACTAGAGGCGCTTGAGAGTGGACCGCTTGGAGGGTGGGAGCGCAGTCGCAGGTTATCCATCGCCTGGTGCAAGATCTACCGTCACTCTGCCACGTCTGGGATCTTCCTTTATATAGACGGGAGACTCAACAAAACCACTTTCCTCAACGCGGACCCAGATTGTTCTCATTTTTCTCTTTTGCCCCCCTCTCTCCTTTTTTTCCACCCCCCTGATCAGGCTTAACCACCCTGTGTTTTGTAAAGGCAATTGTTAGTGCGCATCATCGCGGGAGCCAAAAGGAGGTTTGCCACTTCTTCCATAGGAGACTGGTGAGTAAAGCGGCTCAATGTTTCATGTCTTTGATTTCTATTTGCGTGATCATTTAAGTTTTTTTAATTGCAATGTGACTAAGTAATTATTAGGCTGCTAACTTACATATAGTAAGTACAGTAGATAATGTTTGGGTTGATAGAGTTTAAGGTAGGCTGCAACTGTATTTCAACAAGTTAATAAGTTATTTTTTTTATCTAAATGCTGCATAACAGTGATGTTACAGTGAACTCAGTGAGCCAGTGTTCACAGGAGTTAGTAGTTGCAGGTTACTGAAAGATTTTTAATCTGCCCACTTACAAGCCTCCTCATTCTGGTCAGACAACATTCATGTACAGTGTCTCTTCTGCTGTTTCATTCTTGATGTTGTTGTCCTTTAGTTGACTCAAAAGTTAATGAGGTATCACACCACACTGCTCCTTTATATGTCTTATTAAAGGGCTGAGCAGTTACATAATAAGTGAAAATGAATTGGACTCCTTTCTCTTGATTTGAACCTACACATACATGTGAACTCTTCAATGGGCGTGGTTTTGCATTAATGGGACAGTACCCAGGAAAGATACAAATTCCAGAAAAAGTCAGTGAATCCATTAAAGTTTGGGTTATGAGGTCACCTTTTTAAAATCTTGTGTCCTTGTGTTTTTTCTCTCCCGCTCACAGCGGGCTGCTGGAGCGTCATGACAGCTGAGAAGAGCGGGCCTGTTATAAACGGTAAACCAGAGGATGGCAGAGACCCGGAAGGGTCCAGCTCCAGCCTAGACAACAGGGAGTACAATGAGAGGGGCCAATGGAACAACAAGATCGAATTTGTCCTGTCTGTGGCTGGAGAGATCATCGGGTTGGGCAACGTCTGGAGGTTTCCTTACCTCTGCTACAAGAATGGAGGAGGTAAATAATTTCCCTTATCTGTGTTAGATGTATGGACATAAACATAAGACTCAAGGTGGTAGGAGAGGTTTTTGTGTTAGAAAAGCGGTGGACATAAGTCAAGATCCTTTGCTGGACGGGAGAGGCAAGACAGGCAAGAACTGAAAGAAAACAAACAAATTTTATCCCTGATTAGATACATAATTAAGATAGGATATAATCCGGTGTTGTAGTCAAGACCACCTAAACCGAGACCGAGTGAAGACCAAGACCAGACCAGAGCGAGTCCTACAGGACATGACAAAACTTATAATAAAATGTGTAACATTAAAACCAGGCAATCCTCAAATTAATCTGAAAGATCCACATTCCCATAAAACACCCACAGGACACAAACAAAGATTCTTCTTCACTCACCTCTTTTATTACCATACTGTAAAAGTGTACCATGAGAATCAGATGGTATTGCAAATGTGAATTGTATGTGTGGGAAATTTCATTTGTTTTCTATGAGAAACAAATACAAACACTACAGAGCTAAAATCAACTTAACCATCTTTATTAAACACTCCTTTTTTGCACAGGCAATTAAGTGACATCCCTGCGACTGTGATATTGACTGGTCTTGAAATAAAATCCTGGGTCTGTCCTGGGTTTGTAGTAGCTCAAGACAAGACAGAGTAAAAAGGTGGTCGAGTCTGAAACAAGGCCGAGACCTTCAAAAAGTGGTCTAGAGAACAAGACTGATCTGAGTACTACAACATTGATAATTTTTAAAATGTAAAAGGCGCATTTCTGAGTAAAACAAGTAAGACCAGTTCTTTAATCTTCTACGGCACTAACGAGGGAGGTCAGTTTTGTTTCTAAGAGCTTTCACTTTTACAAAACTGGCAAGAGAAGTACCAAAATATGATGATGTCCTTTATAATTTCATCCATTATGCACAATCGTGTCAATAAAAGAGGTGGGTTCCCTCATTAGGCACCATTAGACAGCACAGTATGGATCCTCCTTACAACCTGAAAAGGTCATTTTGCAGTATGAGTGTGACATCATAGTGAGTGCTTTCATCTGAATTTTATGAATTGCTCCTTTCGTACTTGTTTACAGGTTACAGTTAATTTTGAACTATCAAGCTGTGTGACTTTTATTCAAGTATTAATCAAGTGGTATTTATGCTCTCTATGTATTTTCTTTTGTGTGCACAAAGGTGCGTTCTTCGTTCCGTATGTCATCTTCTTCGTGTGCTGCGGTATCCCGGTGTTTTTCCTGGAGACTGCCCTGGGTCAGTTCACCAGTGAGGGAGGCATCACCTGCTGGAGGAAAGTCTGCCCGCTCTTCGAGGGTGAGAAAACACGCACGTCATATCTTTTATCAGGGTCTGCTCAGGATTTTAATAATTGAATAGAAAATCATAAACTATTTGGAGACATAATAGTCGGGGCTGATGGAACTTGAGTCATGCATGTGCGTAGTAGACAGAACACCAGCACTCACAGGTAACTGCACTTATTTAACATGGGAAAACAGACAAAATGAACATGTTTCAACTGCAAAGCACTTGCCAGGGAATCTAATTGTATTTCTTAATGATGTCATGTTCCTGTTGAAGCCGTGGGCTCCTACAGGTCTCTTACTGACATTTGTCACGCAGCTGTGAATACTTGCAGGTGACAATAATTCAATAATATTTTTCTTTTTAGGTATTGGCTATGCAACGCAGGTGATTGAAGCTCATCTAAACGTGTACTATGTAGTGATCCTCGCCTGGGCCATCTTCTACCTCTTCAACTGCTTCACCACTGAGCTGCCGTGGGCTGGCTGTGGGCACTACTGGAACACAGGTAGGAGGAGGGAACAGTGGACAAGAAATTATTCTTGCAAACTAAAAAAATAATGTGCATCTCATTTGTTTTAAGAGGAAGGAAATAGAAAATATATCCAAGGATTTAATGTGCATATCTTCACATATACCTGTGGTTTGCTCTTAAAAATAATGCCACCTCATTGTGTATCCACAGAGAACTGTGTCGACTACTACGGAGAAAATGCCACCAACATTACAAACCCCAATGCCACCTCTCCAGTCATCGAGTTCTGGGAGTGAGTACATTTTTTATTAATTTTTTTCATGTTCTGTCATGTTCATTAGTCTTCATATGAGATCTGTTTGAGTGTGCAAAGTCCCATTGGAGAGCATACTACAATGATGGCTTTCATCTCTGTTGGTATAAATATTAATGGTACCACAGTTTGTGTATAGCACCACGAGGAGATGCTCTGTCAGTTACGTCTGAAGTCCTCCTTTAATGTCATTGTCTAACGTAATGTTAAAAATCAGAGCTTCTGACAGCTCCAGACTGTTTCCCTGCCCCCTTCCTCCCCCTCAACCTCTCCCCCAATAATTAGTCAGCCCTTTTCATATTTGTGTGTCAACAGGCCCTGGTAGGCCAGCTGTCTCCCAGCTAGAGCCATGTGTGTGGCAGCGGATCAGGCCTTGTCATTGTGTAATGCTGACCACACTTCCTGTCTCGCTGCCAGTGGCTATGTTTACACTACTGGGTTGAATCTCTCTTTTTTTAACCTATATATTGCAGTGAAATGGTTAAGTTTAAAATGCAATATATATTTTTGTGTCGAAATCAGAATTAAGTGACATGATTTGTGTAACAGAGTAATGAAAACATCAGATTTGAGCCAGCAACATGAACCTGACCACAGAGCAAGACATGGCCAAAAAGCCAACCACCATGTCGTTGGCAAAAGTAGCAACCTGCCAGGCTTTGTTTAATCGATGCCAACACAGACTGTCATGATTCGTACTGTATATACAGCATAAACAAACATCGGTGCAGCGAGTTAAACAAGCTGTATGTTGCCATCTGTATGGAAGTTTATTTACATGGTTTAATTATTGCATCTTTACACTTTAAAATTCAAAGCTTTAAACACTGAATAAGAGCTTGATAAAAAGACTGTCAAACAAAAGCTTTTGTATAAATGTGATTAATTTTGGGCATATGTGCAGTACTATTACCAGTGCATCATTTAAGTAGTGATATGTCTGGAGCATAGACTGTATAAAATAATGGACGTAGCCATGGTGACGTCACCCTTTAGTGTGTGGGCTGCTGTTTTGAAGCCTTGAGTTTGGCATTTTGGCCGCCGCCATTTTGGATTTTTGGACCATATTTGGGTGAGAGGTTGGAGCTGTGGGGGAGCGAGGAGTAGATTTGAATGAGAGCCTTGGGACACTACCAGCAGACAGCCTGTTGCTCACAGTGACCTTAATTATGCGTAACTTTAAACATTAATAAAATTGAAAACTGTACAGCTGTCATGAGACGAAAATGGATTTTAGAACCAGGCTGTGAACATGTTTATTTCTGCTGTAAAGGTGGGCATTTTAACATGGGGGTCTATGGGGATTGACTCGCCTCTGGAGCCACCCTCAAGTGGCCATTTGGGGAACTGCAGTTTTTGGCACTTCAGCCCTGGAAGTTGCAGTTTTTTTTAAATGAACCAAAAGAAAAGACTGAACACGAGATATTAAAGCCTCATCCTCTCGGAGTCTCCAAGAGGATGCAATCATTTGTTAATTTTTGCATGTCAAAAATTCACACGAGAAAGAAAATTAGACATGTTTCTTTGGTAAAGCTAACTTTGGCAAATACTCTTAATGTTGGCTATACATTATTTATGTGACCATGTAGAAGATACCTGCCTTCCGTTTGCTTAGCTGTAGTTTGAACCATGCTCAGTCCCTGAAAAATTGCTAGATACCGGTATTATCTAAACTCGCACACCTGCTTTGTTATAATCCTAGACACAGTGTGCACACAGGTCACACTTTGCACTCATATAAAACCAATTCACATACATTTGAGAGCTCAAACAAGTATATTTACACACATTAGTGTTCACATCTTGCCCTCTCGGCTGACCAGGGAGGGACAGGGGGGCTGTGTTGGACCTAGCCTGTGGCCGGCCACCAAGAACATGTCATGATGATCAATGGCTGGTCAGGAGCTCCGGGGGTGAACTCGGTGGCAAAGATTTGGCAGCACCTTGTAGCTCTGTGGCACCGAGTCTCGCTTCTCATCCTCCATCAATGCTTTTGGCTGGCTTTGCCTCAACAAACAGGAAACACACTGTTGATTCACCACCGCCGACGAGCTATGATGTCATAATCACTGATAAGGTGCCCCGTATCTTGCGCCTACACCTGTGGGCGTATCACTGAAGAGGAGGTTTTAGTTGTAGAGCTGTAGTTGACTATTACAAGCCCTCTGTTGGATTCTATTAGCTCGATAACTCTGTACTGCTGAGCAGCTTGCTTAAATACACAGGGCTTGACGCTAACTTTTTTCCCAAGGAGCACATGTGCTCCTAAGTTGAAAAAGTAAGGAGCACACAAAGAACTTTAGGGGCACAATGTAAATTGATCAAATAATGTGTTTTCCGTAATAAACATGATGCAAATAGACATTTACAAGCAAAATTATTTAATGAATTTGTATACAAAATGTACAGACTGGTAAAATCATCAAGTTTTGAAAAAGTATTGCAATTTAATTTTGTCTTTAATGTTATTATCTTATATATATTATCTTTGCAATATGATTATCTTATATAATGTTATTACTATCCTAAAACATTCTCCAGGTCCTCTGAAACTCTGCAGGACTTATTTCCACCCTGCCCAGCAGCGGTACCATGGCGAACGGTACCTAACTATGGGGAGAACGGAGCCTCTTTTCCCGGTCCCTCTTCTCCGCCACACTTTGACTTATCCCCACCCAGCCGACAGCCTGGCCGTGGAGAACGGTCCCTAACTGCATCAATAAGTGATTAACATAAGGGGGATCAAAATAAAATAAATAAATAAGATAAAAATCAACCAGCCACCCTCCTCCCCTGACAGTCCCTTCATAAGTAAAGAACAGTCCCTAAAGTGCGGTGAGGTTTGTGGACCGTTACCTGGCTGCCACAAGAGAGAAATGTGAACGGCTCGTTTCTCCTCTGACACGCTACATACCTGTGTGCTTCCACGGCTCTGTTGTCCAGGTACTACTGGTCAGTCATGACACCAATGAAAGAGGAAATTACTTGACCTGGAGTCGGACTTCTTTGTCGCGGTAAGCCTTTATCTTGTGCACTATGATCCTCCGCCGTATTCCTCTCACAACCGCCATGATAATAGGGGCGCCCCAGCGCCCACTCCACTAACTTGACGTGGAAATGAGCGGTAGTCTAGAAAACTGGAGAGTTTTTTTTTTTTGTTGTTGTTTGTTTGTTTTGGGTTTTTTTGGAGGGCGCTCGTGCGCCCTCACATAGATTGCGCCCTGCGTGGTCACCCACATTGCCCATAGCAAAAACTGTCCCTGCCTCCGCCACACTTTGACTTATTTCCACCCTGCCGACAGTGGGACTTACGGCCGAGATCCACCGGGCACGTCAGCGGCGAGTCCCATAGCAGCTCGCCCCCCTGTTAATCAATTACAGCGACTCCACCGGCAACGGGAGCGGCACGACAACTCTCTATTTTAGGATGCTCTTCTATTTTTGTCGCGCTACGCTCCCCTACGTGACCCGCCAGCAGATAAAAACTACATGAAATAGTGTGCTAAACGAGCACAATGTGTTTTTAAATGAATAAACCATTATCAGAGGTGATATGTGATGATTTTTTTTCATGCATTTACTCATGTTTATCCGTGACATTGTGTAAATGTCCGTGACGGACATTTGAAAGCGAGTAGATGACAAACAGTACAGTAAACTTGTAGATAACTCAAATATATGTAATAACTTAGGTGGAAAATGCTTTACCATTTCATGCAGCCTACATGCAGCCTCTCGGCTCGGCTTCTCTACGTGTCGCTTCCGTACGCAGTCAGTGGAGGCCATATGAATACGCCGCGACGCTACGCTGTGGACCCCGGCCGTTATATTCATTATGCCGAAAGTGGCTTGGAAAACCGCCCATAACCGTGTCAAACAGGGAAGAGGGAAGAGGGAAGGCGGCTGGAGTTCCTCCAACATTTGCGGTTAGATTATCATATTTTTTTATTAACAAAAATATAGGCTGCTTCGGCTGATTTTTTTTATGCGCACATGTGCCCCTAAATATTTTCTACAGTTCGCACACACCTATTTTTAGTCGCAAATGCGAGTGAAACGCTCGCACTGTCGAGCCCTGATACACCATTTCAGTATTGAAATATACTTTATTTGTTCTCATTGGAAAATTTGTTTTTCGACTCTGCAGTGTAGAAACACAATATATTGACATGTAGCCAGCAGAGGCAATAAGGATCACACAGAATGTTGGACGCAAACCTCTCTTTTACAGCGGTACCCAGCTGTATTTTGGTTACCATCTGCCAACAGAGCTCCACAGACTAATCAACTTAAGAACAGGCAGGGTTGCGTTTGTGGAAATTTAGGTCGACAAGTTGGCCACTTTGCTGACAGCTGCTTGACATAGAGAATCAGGAAGTGAGGTGGAGTAAAAATTAAAAAAACCCTGAATGTCTATTTGCGACTGGGTGAAAATAGTTACACTACAGCTATTTGACTACTTAACCCATTTCCACATGCATTATTATGTATACCCATGCATGCTGTGATTGGCTAGTCACATCGAAATGTCAAGGGAGGAGGCAGCTATGGCAAAGACGCCATGGTTAGGGCTAGTATTAGCCAATTTCGGATATTCTCTGAGATAGTATTCAAGTGGCATAGGATAATAAACAGTTCAGTCCACAACGGAGTAAGACGTGTTTGATGAACGGGTTCTGTACAGGGCTTTCACATGGGAGACTGTGGTTTAAGTCCTGTGTAAGTCAATGTTTGTTATTTTTAGACTTAGTTTACTTATTTAAAGTTTTTAGGATGTATAAATCTGCTGAATGCACACTGTGTACATAAACTTTAGCAAAATGGCTGAATAGATCTGTTCCTAACATCATAATTTGACGCTGTTGGAATGTCCAGGAATATACGTCCCCGTCATGTTTTTCTTTTACCCTGGCTTTTCCGACCGTGGTACTTGTGCTCATTCATTGTTCCCCAAGGGTGAATTTTAATTTCATTTCCAGGAGAATCACAATGGTCAATGGATGTTCTGTTGAAGTAAGGCGTGATTTGACTCAAGGTGTTGTGGTTGACTCGTTAGGTAGTGATCCCTGGACAATATTTTTGCACAAACATTTTGACCACCAAGGACATAAAAGGCTTTCAGGGGCTGAAGAATCTGCATGACCTGTTATAAACAGTGGAGCAAACCAGACTTCTTCCTGCCTGGTTATGTTGCCCACCAAAGTGCAGTTGTCCCACCAGAACCTCCTCGATGCTCAATATCCTCATCTCCATCTCTAGTAAGATTATATGACATTTTTCCGTCAGAGCCACACTGTTGCCGACTGCCTTCATTATTGAGATTCTTTCCCATCCTGTAGGTGAACGAGGGGAGACGTCATCTTCCTTGTTAGCAAAATGACCATCATGTGACCCCTTGTTAACCTGCCATCACTCTTCATCCACCAGGTCCAGACCCAGACCTTTTACTGATAAATTATTGAGAATTATTAAACTTTGATGTCCGCCCCCCTGTTAAAAATGAACAAATGGCCTACTGCCCCCATCCAATCAAAGATGATGACACCTTTCTCTTTGCTTGGTGTCTGTCTTCCTTAAGCCAATCAGACATGATCATTCAGGACATTAACCATATTAGGCCAAAGACAGAGTTGAGGCATGATTAGGATAATGTGTTCGTCCACAGCTTAACAACCATGGGAAGTCCACTCAAGTGGCAGAGGGGACTCAGCAGAAGAGAGGAAGTCTTATTGTTGGATAAGAACATTTCTCTACTCACTTCCATTTATCAGATGATGGGTGGAAAGTTACTTGTGGGAAGGTTGTTGAAGATTGTTGCCATGCCGTCCTCACGTTGTTCAAGACTGCATCGTCCCACACAGATACAGTTCCACAATTGCTGCTTGTAAATTTACCGTCATATTACCTTGTAGTTGCATCCTCAACTGCAAGGTTAGCAGCAGGATGAGGATCAGCCATCATGGATGGAAGGAGGAAGTTGCAGTCTGAATCAGAGGATAGAAATGGTCATCCTGTTGGTTAGTCTCCGCATTGTCATGTTGTTCGCTGAGTTGCCGACAGATATTTTATTTATGGTTTGGTCAGGATGGTCGTTTTTATGATTGGTACTGTGTGCATTCATACTATCACAATGTGAGTGCCTGAGCAAGTACATGAAGAACCAGTAAAAGACAATAAAGGCCTTTAGTGATTAAAGCAAATGTGAAATAGTTTGTTTCCCCATTCCATTACAAAACATAGATTTTAGTTTTGAGGCTCAAGAGATGCAGTTCATTGCTTATTATCCTTGTAGTGGTTTGAAGTTGAGGAGTTGAAGTCCTTTGTGGAGTTGGGGAATGCATTAACTGAACTAGCAACTATAATTAACCAGCAAAAATGACATTACTATTTATACTGAGCAACCTCAAACAAATATGCATTTTTCATCATTCTCCCTCTGTGTTGTAAGTTATTTAGCACAGTTTGCACTTAATGCCTGAAGACAGATCTGCAGAGGCTCTACATCACATGTTCAACACCATTTTCCCTTTCCAGAAAGTGTTTTCGAAGGCTTGAACTTATGTCATGAAATTGTAACTCATCCATGTTCTTTGTGCCAAATCAGACGCAGAGTCCTGAAGATATCAGATGGTATCGAGCACATGGGTGGAATGCGCTGGGAGCTGGCCATGTGTCTGGCCCTGGCCTGGTTCATCTGCTACTTCTGCATCTGGAAGGGACCCAAGTCGACTGGCAAGGTGAGACAGAGTAATGCATCTTTACTGTTCTGTGTGTGCCTGTATGTGAGTCTGTGCAATGCAATCACAGGAAAGATGAGAAAATTTTATGGGTAATGCGGTTATCACACCATCCAACTCATGATGGAGGATTTTTTACATGAGTGTTTGTGTGCTGGAATGTGTGTGCATGTTACTTTGCTGTTTTTTTTTTTTTATTCACTGGAGCAGTTTTAATTTTCATCTTGCTCACTGAAACAACCACAAGATTTCCCATCTTGTCCTCAAAACAACTTGCTGACAGGAAGCCCCAAGTACTCCACCCCCCCGCAAATAGAGGACAAAAGGGGTGTCTGCACCACCCACTTCTACCTTTCCTCCCATCACCCTTTCCATTTTAATGTCCTCCTTGAGTCTCTTCTAGCAGCCTCAAGGAGGACAGTGAGGACTCTGCACCTTGGTTTGGGTGCTCAGCTCCCCCTCTTAGATTGAATGAGACAGAGTGAGTAGAGAGATGGAGATGGAGTGAAAAAAGAGAGGGAAGAAAGAGAGTAAATAGAAAAGAGGAGAGGTGTGTGAGGAAAAATTAATGGGCTCACATTCTACATGACAGGGGGGAAAAAAACAACTAGGCGGCAATGCCTATATCTCCCTGAAGTGTCTTTTGTCTGGCTGTGAAGTAAGAGGGGAGAAGGCTTCTTCATGGCCGGGCTTTAGCAGCCGGTCCAAGATTGATTCCTGTATTCACTGGAGGAAAGGAGAGCGTTCATGAGGAGCATGCAGAGTATATCCTCAGCCTCCGCCTCTGCTGCCTCTCTCTCTCCCTCTCTCTCCTGCTATGAGAAATAAACCACAGCTAGCCCGTTGCAAGAGAGAGGCGCTTTCTTCTCCACAGACCCTACAGCCCATTCAATTCCGACTCTGCTAAGCTGTTTGCTTTTGTTGGCCGTGTTTGCCAGCCATTCTCACATTTAAGCCCTCCTGTTAGATTTACGGCGAGGCAGGGGCAAGTTTGACCAGTAAATTTGTGGTGGCTTAAATGTTTACCCGTGGTGAGCTGGACGAAGCATGTGGAGCATCAAAAGTTCATGGAGAGATTGAATATTGTCCTTTTCATCTCCAGAGAGATGAAGAGAAAGAGGGCGAGAAGGTTTAGGGTGTGTGATCATTTTATTTGACAAATTAAAGGAGGGATTTGCCAGGCAGGAGACAACTTTTCCCACACTTTCCCCCTGTAGGCCACACTAGGATTAACAGAGTTTACAGTGGACAGTCTAATTGAGTCTTGTGGATCCTTACTGTTTAAAGACTATCTTGGTTAGGAAATGGGTCTTTATTAAACTTTTGATTCAGGTTTTGAAGGTGAAGGATGTTCAGGATATTCAGAGTATCGTCAATTTCTGAATGGTTGAGGGTAAAATCAAGCTTAAACTGGCAATGTAACAGTGAACTGAACTTCTAGTTAGATTAAGAAGTTCACTGCATCGAAACCTGCAATAAAATAATTGCTTCCACCTCGTAAAAGGAGTTTCCATTCATGAAAGTGCTGCTCGTAGTTGTACAGTAATCTGACCAGGGGTATACGAGTAATTGGAGTGTGCATGCGTTTATGAGTGTGTGTTTAGGCCCGTTTATGTGAATGGTCCACTTTATCTTTGTCTGTAGTATGTGCACACCCATTTCAGTGTTGTGAATGAAATTGTGTGCGTGTGTGTGTGTATGGACTCATGCACTTCTGTGCGCGCTTCAAAGAAAAGCACATTTTCCCACACTGCCAGCATCACTCCTCTGGGCTTCTCCTGTTTAAGAGACGGGGCCAGAGGAGCCTTCTTTTCTTTTCAGTCTCCTGGCCCGGCTCTGTTCTGTCCTGTTCTGCCCTCAATTGGACTTTGACTGGATGCCAGCAAGCCAGGGGATGTATGTTGTCCGCCTCTGCCTTCCAAGAGGCCAGGGTCTTTGTTCAAGGGGTTTCTAAGAGTCTTGAGATGTCGAGCACAATTCTGCAAAACCTGAATGGTTCAATAAAAATGGGAGTGTTAGTTCGATGGTTAGCAAGTGCTAGCTACTGTACTGAAGGTATGTCTGATGTTTACTATAGTGGAGTTGACTCTCTAGTGCTGTGCGTGATACCCTTTCTACCCTATCCTTCCAAAACTTGAGCTGCAAAACTGAGTGCTAAAACTGAATGCTAATATACTCCAGGTTCCAGGTTAAGCTGACCCCCCTCTTGGTATGACTTTATTTTGACAGTCCACTGTTGACTCCAAACAGTGTATCAGTAGATATTAAACTGTCATCAGCTGACGGTCACAAATTCAGGCAAAAACATGGATTATGAATGGGAACAATTAAGTAGTGCCCTTTTGTGAACCAGAGTTCAGCTGTGATCTACAAATTGGTTCAAAAGGTGTGTGCTGCTGTAAAATAAGTATGTTATAAATCCAGAGACTCTGTGGACAGATCTGTCTTCTACTGAGCTGAATGTCAAGAAGATAGTCAAGTTTGTTGATTTGTTTGATATTCTCAATACAGTAAACCAATGATAAGATTTTCATTTGACCTCTCAATCCCAACCTTTTTGTTTTGTGAGAGCCTACAACAAATCAGAACAATCAGCAGTTGTACCAAAGATTGATTTTTCCTGTTTTGAGGAAAAAATATACAGTATATTTAATTTTGGGAAGCAAAAAACATGTATTTTTTTATACCTTAAATAATCTTGGGACACCCTCATCTCTCTTGAAACCCCTCAGTTACTTTGTTCAGTCCAAACCACAGTGACTTCAAATGGACACCAAAGTGATTAAAGTTGATTCGTGAGCCCTTCTGACACTTGTAGGTTTCAAAGGTTCCCCTGATCTTGACATCAACCATGTTTGGTACAGCCTGCTAGGTGTCATAGTTGGTTAGATCCTTGAGAAAATTTAAAAATTGGTCATTGCTTTACTTCCTCACATTGTGGCACATTGTGACAATGCATTTGTGTTTGTTTGTGTGTGCAACAGCAATTATCCTCCCCACTCATTTCTCTTCCTTCTGGGACATGTGTGGTTAGATCAGTAATTTCCTCCTTAGGATTCTTTGAGTCCAGTTAATCCAACACATGTCCTGTAGTTGTGGTGCTTTTGAATACTGCTGCACCAGCAATGGCTGTGGCCGGAGACATTGTGTTTTCGGGTTGTCCGTCCATCCGTCCCAATCTTGTGAAACGCAATATCTCAAGAACGCCTTGAAGAAGTTTCTTCAAGTTTGGCATAAATGTTCACTTGGACTCAAAGATAAACCGATGAGATTTTGGTGGTCAAAGGTTAAAGGTTAAGGTCACTGTGACCTTGCATATGTCTCATTCGGTGAACACCATATCTCAAGAGCACCTTTAGGGAATTTTTATATATTAGGCAAGAACGTTTACTTGGTGGTCAGAGGTCAAGGTCACCGTGACCTCACAAAACATGTTTTTGACCATAAATCAAGAATTCATTTGCTAATAATGGCAAAATTTCACTCAGATGTCTAATAGAATGGGGCGTTGGTGGCTTAGTTGATAGAGCAGGTGCCCCATGTACAAGGTTGTTGCCGCAGCGGCCTGGGTTCAACTCCAGCCTGTGGCCCTTTGCTGCATATCGCTCCCTCTCTCTCTCCCCCTTTCACGCTCGACTGTCCTATCAATTAAAAGCTAAAATGCCCCCCAAAAAATAATCTTAAAAAAAAAGTCTAATAAAATAAAATGATGAGGTGATGAGATTCAATATCCAAAAGATTAACTTCATTGTGACATCATAATATTCTGCAAAACCCTTTTCTGGCCATTATTCAGCAGCATGACTCAGGAACAGCAGGGGAGACATTTGGTCAGATTTGGTGACTAATCTTGGGTGTCCACCTTGAAACTGTACTGATTGTAGAGATATTCTGTGAAGGAACCATGTTTTTAACAGATATGGATGTAAACTGTAACTGCAACTTGACAGGTTCGCAACTGCTAGGCACTTATTGTAGTTATTTTTAAATAGGGGGATGAGGAGGTGGCTATGTTGGTTAGAGCCCGTTATTTATCAGCTGTGACAATTGCTTGCCATATTTTTGCTTTCCACAGCCTTACTTTGACCTTATCTTGTACAAATCATATCTAGTTATGTAAGCAAATACTACTCTACATTCTGACAGTGACTCAGTGTCAGCTGTGTTTGTCTGTGATCTGTACATATTTTAATATTCCAAATCTGTGCATGTTTATACCTGCAGGTTGTGTATGTGACAGCAACATTTCCATACTTCATGTTGTTGATCCTGCTGATCCGAGGAGTGACGCTGCCAGGAGCATTTGATGGCATCAAGTTCTACCTCTACCCAGACATATCACGTCTCTCTGACCCTCAGGTAGGCCTGGACCCACTGTATCTCTGTCTCTACTGGTAAAAAAGAAAAAAGATCTGCCTCCAACATTATAGGTACAATGTTAAAGTGCCACTAGTGATGCGCGAAAATGAACAAACAAATCATTTTGAACAATTCTTTTTAGTGTATGGTATGTACCAGGTCAGCCTGATGAACATCTGAGTGCTCATGAATCCCCGACTCTTCCCACCTTTACCATAGTGTACTGCTCACACTGTTTGCTACAGCGAGTCTTGCATCAAGACCTCTGCCAGCCAAGGGCAATGGTGCATTCACATGCTCCTCAGATGGTTGTGATGTGATGTGTTCATGAGCTTTCAGTTGTAATTTGGAAACAACATGGACACTATAAAGAGGATGTGTTGTATTTTATTGCTAGCACTTGCATTTAAGATGCATTTAAACAACATGTTGATAACGATTAGCAAAAGAAACAAATCAAGTGAGCCATTAGATATGATGGGGAACTAATTTTTCAGATTATTCCAACAACTTGAATGCAGCACAAGGCTGCAGAGATAACGGGCATGTCTCCCACTTGCCCATCAAAGACTGACACATCGCTTGTCAGTGACATTTCTGTAACATTGCATTAAGCTTACATAGCCTACCTACATACAAGTGGGATGCTGAATCAATGCATTAAGATTAATATATTATCTTTATCAATGTGAACTCATTCATATTGACTAGTAATGCACTAAAGAGAAATTTGTGGGGCGGGCAGCACTTCCTGCCAGACTTGCATGTACTATAACAGAGTGTCACAGAAACAAAAACAAACATATTTTGCAAGAAACATCAAAACTGGAAAGATCTGATACATTAACATTTATCAACTCAAAGGAACTGATGCTGTGAAAAGAATCACTGTGCCCATCACTGAGTGCCACTGAGATGTTGCCACCAACCAGTAAGACAAAATAATAGGTTTTGCCATTTTATCAGTTGTTATACCTACGAATGTGAAAGAAAGTCAGTGTTACAGCTTTAATTTTATAGTGGAGCTGCTGTTATCTTTATGTGTTAGGATCCCACCACCTTTTGAAAGTTACCAGAAGGACAGCCATGGAGGTGAGAGGACACACACTGTGTCAGTCATTGCCGCATAAATTCCTCTCCTCAGTGATCAGCAGGAAATATGCTCATGTAACAAACCCCTTTTTTATCATAAGTTATGTAAATTGTAAAACCCCCAAACATCCACACACAGCAGCTATATAAAAAAAGAAAAAATGGAGTTGTAACACTTAATGGCTGTAAGTGGCACGTGTCAAGATTGCAAGTCTATTAGTGTCCATACCTGTAGTGTAGACGGTGTACATCATGTCTACAAATACAGCTCTTTAGCGTGGCTGCTATAACTTGTCTTGTTGCTGGTGGCACTGGTTGGACTGAAATTGCAAGTCCAGTAATACTGACAGGGATGCCACACATCAAGGACATTGTAGTACCCTAACCTGCTGTAAGACACAGTAAATACTGTACAGAATACACACAATTTTGGTATTTCCCAACCAAATCTTAAGGCAGCAGTTATGTTAAATCAGTCTGATTGTGCTCTGTGAAAACAGTGACTGTTGAAAGGCAGAAGGTACCAAAGTAAAGCAGGAGGGGTTAAAGAGACTCATGGGATTGAAATTATACCCCTGCCTTACACCCACCTGTCTGGAGCTGAATAGCTGCCAGGGGGACAGGTGGTGTTATTGTTACTGTAATGGGATGGGGGATCAGTCTTTTTTCACTGCGATCACTGTTTATGTACTTTTTTGTACCGTTTTATTCCATTTATTCAGAGGGAAGCTGTTTGCCAAATGGTACATACTACCTTTGTGTGGCAAAGACTAAAAAAAGGCAGCTGTTTCATATAGTTACAGACATTTGGCTTCAGGTATAAACCCACCTCTATTGGCAGTGATTCTGCTGTGGCTTATTACAGAGCCAAGATCATCATAGCAGAGCTGACACATCCTGCTGGTGATGAGATGATCTAGGGTCAAGAAAATAGTGAGCCTTGAGAGCTAGAGGGGTGGAAAGTTCAGGATTTGAAGCTAATAGAGATGGTGCATTGATATATAACACAGACAGACAGACAGACAGACAGACACACGCACAGAGCAGACTACTTGACCTCGTCTGAAAAAGGCAGACACCTTGGGTCGCTAGGCAACAGTGCGCACGAAAATGTCAGTGGATGGGGTGTCATGACAACTTGAATTGAGATGGATGAGTTTGAGGGAGACAGAGAGAACAGATCAAAACACAGTGATTGACAGTTTGATAAATTGATAGATTGATTTGAACGTGAAGTTTCTGTATCACTTTGAGTGGCAATATCACTGATTATATTTCAGGAAAGTGTTGTCACATTTAATTAAGAAAAAAAACTGAAAAATTTGAAATTCATTCTTATTGTAAAACTTTATGACATGAGTTCAGAATTGACTGTTCACTGAACTCTTTTTCCGAACAGTGATTGTCCAATCACAACTTAACAACCCTAACTTGGCTCAGCAGTCCTGTCAAGCTTGGATTTCTCTGCGTTTTGAAATGATGTACATGGGACTGTAGCAAAAGCAATATTTGAAATTCAAACAGAGAGGAGCAAAACTATAATGAAGGGATTACACAGTGTGTTAATCTGCTGTAGCATAAACTGCAATCGTTAGCACGCTTGGTTAACTAGCTTTTACCTGTAGTAGAAATCTATCGTCCGAGGCAAAGGAGCACGCTAAGCTTCTCTGGGACATGCAGCTTAAGCCTCAGTCTGACAAGGAAAAATTTTATCTTTGCAGCCTTCATGTGCACACTTCAGAAACCTTTAAAAGTTTCTTGCTTTAAGAAGAGTCAATTAGAAACATTAAAAAGTCAGCTGGAGATGGCAATACTTTTTTTAACCAAGTTAACACTGCAGCTCCTGCTGATTAAGGTCTCCTTAATCTGGATGCCTTTTATGGATTGGAGGACCCAATATTTTATTTATCTTTTTCTACGTTAAAGGACCACAAAATCATCCTCACTGCTTGATGACTCCATATTGTGTCGTGTTGTAAATTTTCTCAGCAATTGGAACAGTAAAACACATCAGATTCAGTGTGCAAGTTTTCTGTTTGTAACAATTTTATTGGATGACCAATTTAAAAAAATGCATTTGAAAAAAATGGACTTGGTTTTCAAAGGCCTTAAGGCCGTGTCTGATAAAATTTACTCATTCACTACTTCCTAATCACTATTTAGGGAGTTCTATACAGAGGACTTTTTTGCGAGCTCATCTGCAAATTGAAAAAACACATTTGGACACTCAGGTCAATATTTCACTAATTATGGTATTGCTGTCAAACAATTCAAATGTGCCAGATCAATGTCAGATGGTTGGGCATCCATAATAAACACAGAAATGGATTTGTGTGCTAAATATATGATATTATACTGAGCATATTTTCCAAAATTAATAAATACAAAGTACTTTGTTTTTGTTGGACATTGTGTCTTTATGTTGCGATGCGTTGCTCTGCTCACATTTAACACATTATTTTCTGCCCCAACTCATTGACTTGTCTTGAGCCTGTTGTCATCAGGAAAAACAAATAATACTCTTTATAAAACAAGCTCTGTGGAAATGCCATCCAGCATCAATCTTTCTTTGTTTGTTCTCACAGTAATTCAAATATTTTTGATTAGGAGATGAAACAGAAGTACTGGACATAGAAGAGTTAGATGTGACGTCTTGCTACACTAGCAAGAAGTTGTCAAGTGAAAAGATGAAGATGATACTAGCACTCTTTATTTATATTTACAATAGATACACACCATGATTATTTCTGATATTTTTTACGTGCTTTTCTCACCCCTGAGTCAGTACGCGGTTATCCACCCTCTCCACCGAGGACCCGTTGATATTAAGGGGAGTGTAGTTCCTTGGCTGCCTCTTTCCACCACCAAGTCCACCATCATCTTTTTAGTTTGGCTGATGTTCACACCAGGGGGTCAGGTCCTGTTTTTAGGTAGGCCCATTAATTATCTGTGATTAAGCCCACCACTGCTGTGTCGTGACGGTGTTGGAGTTGGAAGTGGCTACACAGTCGTGTGTGTACAGGGAGTACAACAGGGAATCCAAAACGCAACCCTGGGGTGCCCCTGTGTCGAGGATCCACATATACAGTGAGGTGTTAAGTCCTATCTCCTTGAACTTTGTGACCAGCCTGGAGGGAACTGAAGTGTTATCTGCTGAACTGTAGTCAGTAAACAGCAATCTCACATAGCTCCCTTTCTTTTCCAGCTGAGATAGCATGGTGGGGAGGATGAGTGCTATGGTTTCTTCTGTAGATGGGTTGGGACGGTAGGCAACCGCAGCTAACTCTCCCTGCAAAACTCTGTCGGAAAGATGCAGAATTTGTCATTCGTCTGAGTTTTGCTGGCTTGCGGGTTGTTGTTCGAATTAAAGGCTGTACTTCTGCGTTTTCGTATTGCCCGCCACCACGGACTCAAAGAGTTTACAAGTGGATCAAGAGACGGAGCAGCCCCTCTCTCTCTCATACTCAGACTAAACACCGACCCAACGTTAAAACTAAAACTGAGTTGCCTATTTCTCACTTCAATTACTTTCATAAATACGTTTTAGCTTACCATTTAACTGAAATCACCTGTAACCAGTTGGTGGTAGTTGTAGATTTTCCACCTCTTGGGTAAAAGTGAATGCCACAGCCCCTTTATTCTGCTTTTTCTGGTTATGTAGCACCAATTTCAAAAGTATTTGTATTTTTCTACTGTATTGGCAGCCTACATTTATGAAAAGGTTTTCTTTCCATTGGTGACATACTTCTTTAACTTTCATATAGTCTTAGACTACATCCCCTCTTGGGCAAACTTTGACATGGTTGCAATCGCGCTGTACTCTCTTGTCTACCTTTTTCCTTCTGTGTAATGCATGATGGTATATAGTGCTCGGTTAGTGACCATTGGGTGTACACCACTTTTCATAA